TTGATGTTTGTGATTCATGTAAAAATTCTGTTCAAGCATCAAAAGATTTTCTCAATAATGCTTTAGTAAGAATCATTTCTTTAGAATATGATTATTTATTTGTTTATTTGTTTTTTGGTATTTAGGAATCTGTTCTTAATGTATTACTTCGAACATGTGAACGTTGTCCATCAAAAGATCAATGTCGTGATTATTATAATCAACGATTTAATAATATTAAATCTTATATAAACAATATTAATGCTGATCAATTTTGTCAATCTCTTCATCTTTGTTCAACATCATTAATTATTATTCATACAGATCAATGTTCAAAATGTCTAGAAAGTTTACAATCACGAAAAGTTACTTTATTACATGCTTTAGATCGTATTGTTTCATATTTTGATGATATTTGTCAACGTTTTGCTGGTAAACAATGTCAAATATTTTTAAAACAAATTCAAGATTCATTTAAAAAATCTATTGAAAATTTTGATCCAAAACAAACATGTCATATAATTGGTTTTTGTTCAACTAAAAATATTCCAGATGAAATAGATTTTGATAAATATGAAAAATATTTAGAAGATGAAATTGATAAGAATATTTGTTCTATTCTTGGTCCATTTGAAACATTATGTAAACAAACAATTCATAATAATAGAAAACAAATTGAAACAGTAAAAATCAATTATAATATTAAAGATCTTATGCAAATTGGGGAACAAATAAAAAATGGTAAAATTAACAACTTTTTCAGTGCAGCCAATCTTAGTAAGTTTATTAGTCTATGAAATATTCTATTCATTTTTGTGAAATACAATATAACAATCTCTATGTAATTAACAACAAAAAAAAAAAACAACTATTTTAATGTTCTATTTAGATGAATGTAGTCGTGATAAATGTCAATGTTGTATCGATCGAATAAATCAAAAGAAAGAATGTGCAAAGAATATAACAGATAACATGATATCATGTTTTATTCGTTCATGTGATTATTGTCCAGCTAAAGATCAATGTCAAAAATATTGGCAAGATTATGAAAAACAAATTGATTCATATATTGATAATATTGATTCAAAACAAGTTTGTACTCGTCTTGGTTATTGTAATGTTTCATCATTATGTATGAATATGGGTATTTTTCAACAAGCATGTGAAGAAGCACTTAATGCTTTTACACAATCACTTAAACATGATCAAGAAACATTAGAAAATCATTTACCACATACATCAATTGTTATTTTACCAACAAAATCTGAAGAAAAAGAAGAAACAAATATTTTAAATGATTCAAATTCTACTTGTATACTTTGTGAATATGTAATGACTATTGTTTCAAATTATATTCATCGACAATCAACTGAAGAAGAAATTGAAAAAAGTTTAGAAAAAGTTTGTAATCAAATGCCATCAACTATTCAAAAACAATGTCATGAATTAATTGATAATTATGGTCCATCAATAATTGCAATACTTATAAAAGAATTTGATGTTTCAACTATTTGTCGAAAACTTAATTTATGTACAAAACAAATGAAAGTTTATTCATCTCATTTAACAAAAGCAAATCCAGTAACATGTGGTATATGTGATTATGTTTCAACATATATGAATTTTGCACTAAAACGTGATTCAAGTGAAAAATCACTTCAACATGCATTATCAACTGTTTGTACACATTTATCACATGAACAATATTCACAATGTCAAACAATCGTTCAATTATTTGCACTTCATATGAGAAAACTAGAACTTGATCTTACGAATAATTTTTGTCAACAATTAATTATTTGTCAAACACCAATGATTGAATTAACACCAGCAATTGATCTTAATCAAATATCAGCGAAACCAAAACCAATAATGGAAAAAGATGAAAACCTTAAAGAAATAATCGTTAAAAACTTAGATAGTACACCAGAATGTATGTTATGTCATTATGTTGTTTCATATTTGGATGCTATTTTAAAGAATAATAAATCTGAAGCAGCAGTTGAAGCAGCATTATCAAGAGTCTGCACTATTTTACCACGTATGATTAATTATGACAACAAAAAGAAAATCTTTTAATAGTGAATATTTCCTTGTCTTTTTTTTTTGTAGGAAAAGAACGTACTCGATGTGGCGAATTTGTTAAAACTTATGGACCAGTTCTTGTTGAATTAATTTTTGAAGTAGCTGATCCACAATTAGTTTGTCGTTATCTTGGAATGTGTCAAGTAGTTTCTTCATCACAAGAAACAACAACAATAGAATCAACACCAATTAAACATTGAAAGCATCATTATACTCATATACCGGTGTACAAAAAAAAAGGAGCTATTGACTTGTATCATTTGTCTATTTATTTCTTTAAAGACGTCAAAGTTTTTTCTCTGCTATCAATTTACTTACTAACTTTCAATCTGAAACATTGCTGTTATCATTTCTTTTTCTTTTGACTCATTCTCTCTTATTATATTCTCGCCTTTCATCACCATATGTTTAACTGTTTATAAAGTATAAAAATAGAAAACAATATGGATTCTGGATTAGTCATCTGTTGTCTATGCTTATTTTTTTTTTGTTATAAACTATCATGTATTAAAAACTTGTCTTTTTTTTCCATTAAAAGTCTGATTAATCTTATTTTATTATTCAACGGCTAAATGGTTAATAGAAAGAATCATAGATAAATTTGCACTTAAATCATTATATTCTAATAGAATCTAAACTTATTCTATCCATTGAATCACGTTCAATAGTATTTGCATGCATATTTATCTATTAGTATAGACTAGTGTCCTGCGGGAACGACTTTTTCTGATTCCCATTCCCCATTCCCATTCCCTAAAAAAAAATTTTTGTTCCCATTCCCTTTTTCCCATTCCCTAAAAATTTTCTTTTGTTCCCATTCCCTTTTTCCCATTCCCTAAAAATTTTTTTTTGTTCCCATTCCCACGTTCCCATTCCCATAATTCCCATAAGGTTTTCCAAGGCTCTATTCATCTATGCGAAAGTGTCATTGGCATATATGTATACCAGTTTCTCGAGACATCATGTTTTGTGCATCGCGACGTTGTTACATAGTGTTTCACTTCTTTTCTTTTCCTGTTTTGTTGCTCTTGTTGGCATTGGTTAAGCAGGTGTTCCTTCGTATATGCACTATACATATACATTCAAGCTGGTGTCCCTTTTCATTAAAAAAGTGTTCCACCGTCTAATTAGAAAATGTATAGTCAACCTAGTGTTCATCATATAGAATGTTCCTCTTATAGTAAAGTGTTCCCCTCCCCTCACCCAAATAGAAAATTAAAAAAGTTATAAATAAATATTGAGATTATTATTGATAAATCATTTGTTTTTTGTTGTAAATAACCTTAATATTTATTTATAATTTTTTTTATTTTCTATTTGGGAGAAGGGAGGGAAACACTTTACCGTAAGAGGAATATTCTCCCTATATGATGAACACTATGTTGACTATACATTTTCTTATTAGACGATGGAACACTTTTTTAATGAAAAGGAACACCAGCTTGCATGTATAGTGCATACACGAAGGAACACCTGCTTAACCAATGCCAATATTTGTGATGATTAAATTACGATGTGGTTAAGAACCAATAAGCAGTCTATTTTTTGCTGATACACATTTGTTCTTTTTCTGTTAATTGTATATGAGTAAGAAAAGTTATTGAAAATAAACAGTTATCAGATAGAAATATTTTTATGTGTATTGAAATAAGATAGAAAGAATTTTGGGAACGTCAATTTTTAATTCTGTTCCCATTCCCATGTTCCCATTCCCTAAGTCTAAATGAGAATTCCCATTCCCATGTTCCCATTCCCTAAGTCTAAATGGGAATTCCCATTCCCATGGGAATGGGAATGGGAAAATTAGGGAAAAAAGTCGTTCCCGCAGGACACTA